TGGTATAACATAAACAAAGAGTAGTTTAATAAAATTCTGAATGTAAGACACTAAAACCTTGTTTCGTACGCAGTAAAGGATACCAGTGGCACTAGGGTTAAAAACAAGCTGACTGTGAGCGGTCCATTTATTGTTGAAATTTATCAACAACGAATCACAGATACCTACTGTACAAAATCCAACATATACATACATAAAAAAAACCTGACAGAATCCAGTTTTGATTGAATACCACATGAGACTACTTCTTAGATGTTGGTGATTAAAATTTTTGCTTGTGAAGTTGAGAGTTGTATTTACAAATCGGTTTCGTCACTGTAATCAACTTTGACGATCACATCTCAATTTTTACACACTGTTAAGTGCTGCTTCATTTGAACAACAAAACACTGCGACTCTTTCCCACAGTCTATGCATTTTATACTTGTTCCAGTTTCATCATTTGGTAGTTCTGGAAAAAATATGCAAACAGGATCCCTTTTGCAACCAGCTGACATGGTCAAATAGTCAAAATTGCTTTTGCTGTGGTGCATGAGCTTGAGACATCGATGTTACATTTAAGAATTAGCACCAAACTACGTGTTCGGGAGATCTTGTAGTGTGCAAAATAATAGGAACATATGGTTTTAACTCTCATAGTTTACAAGTTTTAAAATCATATTTATTTGTTGTTGTTTTTTCACTGAGAATTTTTAATCTGAATAAATCTCATCTCGCAAATTCAACATTTCTTTCATTCGTCACTACATAACTCTTTTACGTTACTATACGGTAATACACCATAATTAACTCTGAACTTACAATTTTTTTCATCCGATTCATCAGGGCAGTCAGTGTCTCCATCACATTGCCAGGAAATGTGGATACAGTCTCTCTGGTTAGCACACGTGAACTCTCTGGCTTCACATGGTGATGGAAGGCCTTCCGTAGGACAATTTTTCTCATCAGTACTATTTGAACAGTCCACATCACCATCACAATGCCAACGATCTGGTATGCACTTCCCGTTGTCACACATAAACTCCGTTGAAGAGCAAGTTACATTTGCTGGAAAGATGAAATACTAATTCTGTAGTGACTTGAAAGCATTTTACTGAAAAGTATAAATGACTTACTACAATAGCTAATATTCTATGAAACATGTATGTCAGTGCTTTATTTTACTGTATCACTTTCAATACAACCACAATGACCGATGTAAAACAATTAGCAAAAAAAAAAACCTTAACAAAAGCTATTAATTTTTTTTGGAAATATCTTCTACAGGTATTTGCCACATTTACCCAATACATTACCTGGAAATCTTTATTTCACATATAATAATGAGCGTTCTTAAACTATAGAGCCTGTGCATGTGTTATGCACACAAGAACATCATTATAAAGTGAAATTCAAATTTGTTTCATATAGATTTAATCATTTATTTTGTATAACAAATTTTTAAAATTCAAACTGCTAACAATACCTGATTTTTTGGTCCCTAATATTTTTTTTTAAAGATGAAGAATTACTCAAACTTCCTTTCTACATACACCAAAAGCTATCAAGTTTCTTCTTTCTAAGTCTTATTATTACTTATTTATTACTTTATTACTTATTCTTACTTATTTCTAACTAAGTTAAAGAATAATTAATACAATTTTTAAACAAGAAAATTCGACTAACTGCAATCCTTGTTGTTATAATACCCAAACTTTATCCCGATACAAAAAGAAAAAAAAAGTAGAGTTAGGAGTACTGCATCCTCCCCTCATTATTTGTTACAGAGTTATGTTTTCTTATATTAATTTCAAATTTCTAAACTTTAATTTGCATATCAGATAATCCATTGTAATCAAGTTACACAACATGTATCTTACACAGATGTGGTATTTCAATCTTTTGTGGATAACTGTGAAGTTCATGTTTTTTGTTTGATATTATATAAAGTACAATTGGTAAATACTATATTTATACCAAGTTTAACAACATACAATTTATTTTATATAAAGACTCATTCAATAATGTTGGTATAAGCATACAAGTAGAAACTATACTTATGGCATCAGAAATTAAAATAACAAACCTGAAAGTTGAACATAATTCTTTCTTTGTGGTACCTTATTCAGTTTACAAAATAACTTCAAGAACAAAACATATATACAAATGCATCTTGGGTCACAAAATGTGTATGTTCTATGAAAAACACATTCAAAAAGTTGGGTTCACATCAATCATTACACAAGTCTCACAATAAACATAATAGTATGTAACTGTTTGCAACTGAATAAAAATACAGCACTGCTAAAAGCAAAATCTAAATAGATACAAAAACATTTAATTGTTATTATGCTTCAAGTTTGAGTTGATTAAGTTTCAACCATGATGATAAAGATATCAAAGTTTGACCAATTTTATTCTAAATGGAATTAGAAGTTCCCACAAGGTTAATCTATATTCAAAGAGACTTACGACAATTTGCTTCATCGCTACTGTCTCCACAGTCGTCATCTTGGTCACAGACCCAACGTGATGTGATACATTTTTTGTTTAAACAAGTAAATTCTTCTGCTGTGCAAGTTACCTGGTCTAAAAAATATTCAATTTTCAGAAACAATGAAACCAAATAAGAGGTTTCAATGCAATTGAAATTTAGAAGTTTAAATCAAATTGAATTATTTTGCTTTCTATATGAAAAGACAGACTTTGAAATTCTTAAACAAATCCCACAAAATATCTAGTATTTGCAATACCTTATTCAACGCAATTAAAATTCAATCCTGCAGTCTAAAACAGATGAGAAATGCAAACGTAAAAAAAAGGGTGAAATATTTTGAGTAATAATAAGAATCCCTTTTTCTTTTTAAATTGAACTTTCTGGTACACTGTCCTGTCTTTTTTTTCATACATTTAGCAGATATGATGTCTTTAAACACAACATTAAATTAGCAAAGTCTGGTTAATAATTTCACAACTCTGCAATTTTTAGTAGTTCCATATGTCAAACTTTTATAGGAACCCCATGAAACAAAAAGTTTTAGTGGGTAAATTACCTTTTTCATGAATTTTCTCAGTTTGACTCAGTGACTTTTAGTTAACACTCCATGATAATAGTTTTCCTCTAACCAGTCACAACTAAATTTGTTTTTAATCAAATTATCAACTTTTCTATTGAATGGCATTAAGCAAAGAATGACATTCAATAACCTTTGTTGTATTTTAAAATTCATCCCACCTTTAAACTGAGCTAATGTGCAAATTTTCAATGAATTGTTCATGCAGAAAATACTTGCAATAAACCCAACATTTTGTAAAATGAGGAAAATATATCAACTAGATCCTAATTGGTCAAAAATTTCACTAAAGTAAAAACCTTTGTTATCCAACATCTTCACATCCAGAAAGCCCTTATAATCAGAAATTTCAATATCTCGAAATAAAAATGTTCACAGTGGGAACTGGAATTCATTACAATTCCACCCAAAATGTTCCAGAATGAGCTCAAAACTTATTGAAAGTTCACAACTGTAGGTAACCAATGATGCCACTTAGTGGTGTAGTTATATTTATGTTCTTTTCTAGTGACAAGTTTCAGCTGTTAGCTGATTGAAATATGATTCATACATTGGTCTTAGTTTACCTGTAAAATGTTTTCTACATCCTCAAGTTATGGCATCTAATCAATGGTTTTGTGACAGGAAATATTTTGATGCCATGTTAATGTTCTAATGTGTAGTATTTCCACATGATCTATAATAACAACAGTTTTAAACAACAATGAATGTTGTAATAAAAACTTAAACTGCACAAAACCATTGATTAGATGCCGTAACTTGAGGATGTCGAAAACATTTACAGATAAAGTAATATTTTACAGGAAATATTTTGAAGCCATGTTAATGTTCTAATGTGTAGTATTTCCACGTGATCTATAATAACAGCAGTTTTAAACAACAATAAATGTTATAATAAAACCTTAAACTAATGATGTATAATAACAACAGTTTTAAACAACAATAAATGTTATAATAAAACCTTAAACTGCACAAAACCATTGATTAGATGCCATAACTTGAGGATGTAGAAAACATTTACAGATAAAGTAATATTTTATTGTTGTTTAAAACTGTTGTTATTATACATCATGTGGAAATACTACACATTAGAACATTAACAAGGCATCAAAATATTTCCTGTAAAATATTGTAAGGGCAATGTTTTTTGTAACCATAGTTTTTCCACTATCTGGCAACTGCCCAGGATTAGCAGAAGTTTGTTAATATGTTTTAATATTAAATAAAATATCAGAAATCCAAGTTACTGCAAAACTTATGTGCAACACTAAACAACATTAAAATGTCTGAAATTTGCTGATTAGAAGAAAGTTTCATCCCTACTAAAATTAACAGAAAAAAAAACAACTTTCCTTTGCTTATCTGGTACAAAAATCATTAATGCATTAAGCAATCAGATCTCTCCAGTGAACTCTCTCTATACAACATTTTACTAAAAATAATTTAATTTAATACAGTTACAAGTTAACAACAGAAAAATAAAATGAAATAATTAAATGTTTACAAATCAAAAATAAATTGTTGCCCTAATTTAACGCAGCTACATTCATCTTTCAACTTATTTAAAGCAATTTACAAGAATTAATTATCTACAACATCCATTACACAAAACAGTGAGCTTATGCTACACAAAGATAAAATACTTTATATCAATGGGTTGTGTAAATGTGGGAAACATTTCTCAGTTTAGAAGAACATCTTTTAAGTGCTTTGACAAATAATGTTTAAGTATTTTAGTGTATCATACAAAACTGAAGGGTAGTATTACACGTAACAAAAACTAAGTATTTAAATAAATGGGAAAACAAAAACCATTTCAGATGACAAGGTAAATATAACAAATTTCGGCAATTTTTCTTAAACGGAGCATCAAGTGCCGGAAGCAAGGTCTATAAATAACAACATACAAATTTTTGGGTTGTACTTGTAAGAATATTGATGTCTAAATAGGCTACAGTTTCATTGTATAAGTCAGTCACTAGTATGCTTCATTTATAACAGTGTATGGAGTTTTTACTCTCGTAACTTAGGAAAGACACAGAATTATCATAGGGAGGGTTCAGAGGAAGGACAGGTGGGTTGTTATATGAAGATTAGAGCTTGGCAATGAAATCAATTCCCTACGAGCACCTATTACATTGATTAGTGTCCTTAAAATAATCCATTACTATTATAAATTGATTATTGTCACAAATATAACTACTGATTTTGATTAATCCAACAATCATAATTTCAAGGAAATCCTTTAATGAAACAAAAATAATCAACTAATCAAAATTAAGGATTCAGATAATTACTATTATTATTTTAAATTATTCCAAATAATGGAAATACTGGCAAGTTTGTTAAGTACAAATTACACAATTGGTTTATCTGTGCTCTGCCCACTACAGGTATCAAAACCCAACTTACACTGTTACATTTTTTGAACAATCCCATGAGAATATTCAATTAGTTGAATGTAACTAATTATTAACACAACAATTAATTAATTAGCAGCTTCCACTAATCATCCAACTCTAATAAAGACAGGTTAAGATATCTTAAATTATTCTTTCTGGTTGAATACTGTTTCAAAATCACTATCCATCAGCACTTCTGTGGCCCAACAAAGATATTGCTTTACTGATTTTTGGAAACTGGTCAGACAGCAGATATCTGCAATCATTACCATTTTTGTTCATTCCTTTTACAAAATTCTTCATGAGTCCCAGTTTAACATGAAGTGGTGCAGGTACACATTTTGATGATTCACTAAAGGTTAATACTCTATATTCTGTTTCCCTGGTACGTAATTCTCTCTCTCACTGGTCATTCCTTCTTTTTTAAATGATTTTTTATCATCTCAACCGTCCCAAAGACACAAAAAATCAACAATGTTTGGTATACCTATTCTGCAGGAGTCCAATAACCTATGATGATCATATTTGATGGCCTCAAGTGTAATCTGCATGCTTTGATAAGTTTCTTTCATGTTCACAGCATGAGCAACAAGAATCGATGGCTTAGTGTTCCCATTGTGCAAAAGTAAAGCTTTCAGACTCACTTTAGATAAAAAAGTCTCCATTCTTGAGGATGATATTCAGTACCTAATTCTTCCATTAGTGCATCAACATTTGTACGGAAACACAAAGTAACTTCCATGCTGTAGTGAGAAGCAAGACTTTGATGATGATTAAAGTAAATTGAAACTCGTGTTCCTGGAGCTAATAAATTCCATCACTGTAAATAAGAGCCAAGAAGTTCCCCATGCTGCTTTGATAGAGACAAGTCATGAATTAGGTCATTTAGTTCTTGTGTGATCAGATGAAGCAGTTTATGTTGAAGTGCCACAGGAATAGAATTACTAGATGAAGAGGATGAAAATGATTTATTGTCTTCTTCACAGGATAACTCTTCTGTTTCCCAATTTTGTGGTGGATGTGGCACTGGAAAACCATTCTCATGAGATACTGGTTTCACTGCAAATGCAATATCTGGATATTTAATGTATTG